TAGCCTATAGATACTGGCTTATGTCTAAGGCTACATCATCTCGTGTATACACCTGCACCTGCACTAAGTATCAGATAGAAGTAAAAGCTCTACAAACATCAAAGAAGAACAATACGGAAGTAAGGTGTAATCTTAAAAAAGCTAACATTAGATTTGTAACGCCGAATTAAATAAGAAGCAATTGAAAGTTGCATTTACAAAAAGTGTAGAGACCAAAAGTTAGTCCAGATAATGTTTAGAATTATTTATGAATTAGTTCCGACGGTAAGTGGACAAATCAGAAATGATAAGTAAACCAAGAAGTCCGAAGAACTATTAGGAATTTGCAAACAAAGAAGAAATATTGGTGGTATTAACAAACGATATCATATCAATTCACACCAGTCGGGTCAAATATCAGGATTTAAATGTTTCAGAAAGATCATAATAGATTAAGGTAGCAGCCCACAAAATAGAGTTATTGAGGAAATCGCATAAACATATTATCACCAACGAGAATCTAAAGGATATGCACAATATTCATTTGATAAACGTTAAAAAATGACGTCATATTTTAAAAGAACAATAGTACTACGGAAAGTTACGCCTAATTTTGGGCATACATTGCGAGGTGTCATTTTATAGGTCAAGTTAGTTCTACAACTAAATGTAATGTTTCACTGATTCTAAGTAAAAGCCTGAGGCGTTGAGTTTCAATCATCCTGGACATATCGAGAAATTTAATGAAATTCCACTACGAAGTTTCGAGTTGAACTTCATTAGAAGTCCTGTTTCTGTGACACTTTTCAAATTAGGATTAAGAGTTATTCAAATTTCTACCATGATGGATTAAAATCATTTATATAATATTTGTTATATTTAATGTTTGAATAAGAGAAATATATGAATGTTACTCAAATTATTTATTCTTGTCTTATTCTAATAAATATTTGATTTAATTTTCATTAAATTGGGTATATCAAGTCGTAGCTAAAAACTTGAAATAACTAGCTAAAGTGAAGGCAAAAACAAATGATGAAAGGAAATAAACTTACAGCTTGACTTTAACTTTTAAAGTGACTTTAGTAAAGGTCATGTTTGCCGGTTGATAAGGAATTCTACTTTAACACTGGTCGAAAAATTGTAATTTATTGACTATATATTTTCATCTCATTGATAGCAAACATTATTGCAGAACTCCGTCTGCAGCATCGGAGGGTAGATTGAGTAGGTAGCTTGATGATGCTGTTGCTGGTCCAAAGCCCGGATAAAAGAGAAGTGTCTGTGAGGGATGTTAGTAATCTACCCATACATTGCTTACAGAACTAATATAATGCCTCGAAATAGGACTGATAATATGGTGACGATACCGACAGGAGAAAGGGGAATTAAACATGAGATAAGAAATATAGGAACATTAAATGGTAGAGATCAGGAAATCGAAAAAGAGCTGCAGGATAAAAATATAGAAAGATGTGCATTGCAGGAAACGAGGCTAAAAGTCAAATGGGATGGCGATTAGCTTTTGATATACAGTGGAGTAGAAAGGAATATTACAGCAAAAGAAGGCGTGGCACTAATGTTTCATGGAAGAGCAACCCAAAATGTTGTAATATTTATATTACAATTGTAAATAAATACGATCTAGAAAATTGCAAACCGGAAGACGTCAGAATAAAATTATGCGAAAAACTACAGGAAATAGTTGATGCAGTACCAGGAGCCGAAGTGGTTATTACATTTGGTAATTTTAATGCACAAGTAGGGAAAACGGTAATACCTGGAATGAAGCAGAGATTTAACAAACATGTAGCGAACGAGAATAGCGAATCTTTAATAAATTTCTGCTCACAAAACAAATATTGGATAAATAACACCTTCTTTAAACATAGAGATGAGCACAAATATAGATTTCAAACTACACGTTCAATTATAGATTACCTCTTGATGAATAGAGATTCACAAATACTAGATATAAGACTTGTCTTGGGGAAAACCAAATAACAACACTATAATGTATAGAATAGAATAATTGCAAGATGAATGGATAAGGAATTTTTACCAGACAAGAGTGGAGAATAAAATAAACAAAAATTCTGTGGTAGGAAAGGAAGACATAGAGAGTAGTTGGAGACAGGCTAAGAACAATATCATAGAGGTAGCAGAGGAAGCAATTGGGGAGTATATAATAGAGTCCCCAATCTCAACTCTTGGAAGAACGTTAAATAAGCAGATGGAAGCTGCTTTATACCCTTAGTATCTTCAAGCATGGTATAAGAAGATTTAGAGAGAAAGTATTCAACAAAAGCTTTCGTTTTTCAAAATATATAACAATAAGAAATTTGAAGCAAGTTTAAAAAATTTAAGGTAAAAATTGAACTGACAACCTTAACGTGAAGAAAAACCCGATTAAATCTCCAATGCTAATAAAAGAGGATTGTTCCGTTTCTAGAGAAGAGCGAGAAGCACAAGGCAGAAAAGAATCCAAAATTAGAGTTAAACGCATTTAAAAATATTTATATTCCACTCCTATACAAAAATTAAAACAAAGCATTAACAACCAAAATAAGTATTCGTAGAATTATCTCACAATGATTTTGCCTCTCTAGTACAACGTTTTTTGAAAAACAAGAATCTTCGCCGAAAACGCTTCTTATTTTAGATAACGCGCTTGAGCCAAATGACAATTTAGCTCACAATTTGGCAGATGAAATCTCGGATAGACCACAACAATACATACTTCTCCATACGTGAAGCACTACGCACCAAATGACAATTTAGCTTCAAGGAACGGGAAACGATTTTTTTTCTTAAGGGGTTATTCCGGTCTAGAATCCCAATTTTTTAGATATCTTCATTAGTTTTTTATGCAAAACTGTTTAAGGTTATTTATACCAGAGTATGTCCAACATGTATGACCACCTATATGAAGTGTTTTTAATTCTTTATGTTTCAAAATACATCTTTTACAACACATCATTTTTTACGGAACCATGATTACGGCCGTTCTGCTCATCCAAAATTTATAATCTAATGACCTTCTTAAAATATACACTTCTAGCTATCGTCTGAAGTAGAATAAACAAAAAATCGCCAAAAGAAACAAAATATCGCCAATTTGAAGATTACATTGCGATTATTTAACTGTTTGTCACATATTAATGGGCTCTAGAATTAATAAAAATGAATATTTTAAGTTGATTCTAATTCAGACGAAAACTATGTATGCGATTAATGTGTGTTTGGCCATGTTTGAACACAATTGAGCCAGTAGATTTTGAAGAATTGTGGTTACCAATTACCATAATGTTGTTTCGAGAGAACGCGATTGAAGTTTTTATAACTTTATGATGTAGAAACTTTGAAATACGTGTATTTACAGTTAATTTGCTGTAACCGTGTAAACTATGGAAGGACCATAGAGGGGTCCTTCTTAGAAGTCATACATATCATGCAAGTTTGCCTTTTCGTGTCTGTGATGCGGAATTTGTGTTTCTTGCGAAAACCTGTAGGCACCTTTTCTAATATCTGTAAATTCACTGGTGGAGTTGATGACGAAAACTGTTAAAGATTATTTTTCCGGATAGTTTTGATATTGTGGCTTCTGATCTATGGAACTTTCATGATAGTACTCTGCCCAAATTTCTTTGTTCATATCTTCAGCAGGTATCGAATTTCTTTGGATAGCTAAGCCATAAATAATAAGCCATAATTGCACACAATTGCTATGGATCAGAATGTGATCTGAATGATAAACACCTACTACAAAAAGTCCTGGTGAATACAGTTTTGGGAAAAGATCATATTACTAAACCGTTGAAAGACGAGATTTACCGTGACTGAGGTGTGCAACAATATACCTATGTCAGATCCACAATTAAGAAGCTGAGTTCTTAATTGAGGGACTCAAATGTTACAATATCGATAAGTAAACTTTACAGGGCACGATATTGAAGAGTGTTTTGAGCATGAACAGAGCGGCGAATCAATGATGACTGAGGATGAACTAACACATTGAGCAATCAATACTAAATCAGACGATGGTAATGTAGACATTACCAAAACAATTGATCGCAATATCCAATGGCAAACACAATAAACAATCTGCAGATATTCTACTGATACTGACAAAATCAAGAGAAAATCTATTTAACAAAACCTATTATTAAAAAAAGGCCAAAAATTTATAAATTCCTTGTAATAACAAATATGTAGATAATATTATGATTTTTTATCTTGTTTATGTTCTCTTTTATGGTGAACCTTTTTTTCATAATATCCAGTAATTCGGCACCTAATCCGTCAGTGCGAAAAATTTTATTGCCCTGGATTAGCGAGCTTGTACTGTATATCCTAAAATAATGTTGAAAGGTTCTAGTAGTTTATGACCAGTCTTCTAAATATTTAGAAAAATATGGAAAACTAATTGAAAGAATAAAATTGTTAAGGTAAATTAGGAAAAGTAATTTTCCTTAGTGATCACCCATAAATATCAGTATATAAATAATTGCGTCACCGTTTCACACAATATACTAAAGCCCTTTCCTAAAGGTACGGTCTTACGCGATTTCACGAGGCGTTTAAACGCTGGCGCTGCGACAAAACGCCCTAGTTCACCATGTGTTTTTCAATGTATGAGGTCTATCTGCGATTTGATGCGATTAATCGCGACGATCAGACGCGTCGTTTAATCGCGCAAGGCAGACCTTAAATAGGTACCTTAAATGTTCTCTAAAAAGACCATGCATTATCTTGAGATATTGCAAAACTTCCTCACCACCTTTACAATAATATTATTTTATTGTATTCTACACGTTGCTCAATTATTACTTTAATCCCGATGTATTACAAAATACTTTCATAAAATTCAAACTGGTGTAATTAAACAAATTTTATTACAACTCTATGTTGTATTAAAATTTGTTTAGCGTACATATATTAAAATTAAGCTTACGTTTTTAAACACCGAATACTCTGCATTTGAATTAAAAATGAAGTTATATAAAATAAAATATAATTACCTGATGAGATCTTAGCGTTCCAAAATTATCTCTTCCCCGATAATTATCTCTTCCATTATATCCACCGTCTGTTTGAAATTGGAACAAAGTCTCGGCATTGTTCTGATGCGGCAGTTTCCTTAAAGTATTCTTTGGCGAGTGCAATTTCGGCGGAGGCTGCGGTACCAAGACTGGTTCGGCATAAGTGACCTCTTCCTGCGGAAGCAGTTTTGGTTCCGCCTGAATCCTGTTCATGTTCTGCCTTTGCTCGAAGTACTCGTATTCAGTGTCGGGGTATGGTAAATTATCGTCTTCGTCTTTATGACATTTTCGTCCACATAGATACCCGGCTATAAAACCCACTACTAAAGCGGTTACAGAACCTGCCACTACAGCCATTACTAAAGTTTCAACTGAATATTGTGGTGGTAATCCATCTGCGGCAGAAACTGATGGGCCGCTATGATCATATTTCGGTTCTTGGACGATATTAATAACTTGACCGTCTTCTTTCGGTTGATGACCTTCTTCGTTAAATTTTGGTTGGGGGAGGGTAAAACCTCCAACTGGACTTGGATCTTTAATTTTTGGAGGTGGACATGCGGCGTGTTGACCTAATGGGACACTTTGATAGAAATAAGTTTCTTCTCCCCATCGACCGTTTCCTTGTGATCGACATTTTCCCTGAAGTTTATCCCAGGCACAATAGGGATCTTGAAGAGCTACGCATTCACTACAACTTGATATTTTGATGCTATCACAACGGTGTAGTCTTAAAGATTGGACCTCTCCATCTGATACAACAATTAATCGTCCTTCTTGTTTACTATTTTTCACTACTTTTATGCTACGAACAGCGACGTGACCTGGGAAGACTTGGATTTCTTCAACGACTACGGGACGAACTCCATGTCTTGTATCTGCAGATAAACCATTTACCGCTTTAATCACTTTTCCGTTATCAGTTCCAATAAAAAGAACGTCATAAGTTTTTCCACCAGGAACTTTAACTTGGGGATCTACAGCAATTTGTGTGAACCTATAACTGTTAAAAATTAAATGATTAAGGTATAGTTTTATTGAAATTATAAAGAAACTTACTGAAAACTGGTCCTTATAACGATAGGTTGGCCGAAAAAATTGGGGACGCTCTCATCCATGAGTGAATGAGTTTTGATGAAGTTTAGAGTGAGATCAGGTAACGTTCTGCTGTCGTTATGACATTGTCCCGGCCTTGGATCCGGAACTTTTGAACTGTGTACTGGAAGCCAGTTCGAATTAATCGCTGCCTGCTCTTTGAAGTTCCCCTCAAAGGTATCCGCGATATTCTGCAGGGAAAAAGCGCATACTGCGCTTCCAGATATGCTATTAGGCGGTGTTGTAAACGTTCCATATACTAGCTGTGCTTTTACATCGCCATATGTACCGTCAATCAACTCAGTTGTCGATTCTGAAAAAAGTAATTTGTTGATTAAAAAACCTAATATATATAATCTAATTTTTTAAAATTGAAGGTTAAATTATAACCAGCGTCTTTAGCAATTTCTCTAGAGATTATTCAGAGGTAATTTGTATAAAGGGGTTGAGTGAAGAATGACGTCTTGGGCGGATAACTAAACGACAACGAATTCATTTTATTAAATTCCCCAGGTTTTGCATGGCACCGGCGAGGACCTGTCGGCCGATCCGACATCCGGTGACAAACGACGAACGCTTCCGGGGGTGGCGACAGTCGCAATCGAGCAAATTCGAGGAGGATCCGCGCCGCCGGACCATTTATCTCCGGACGTAGTGACGTCGTAATAAGCGCGAATGGGATTCAATTCTTGCGCGTCCTTTTCGGGTCTCGCCGACAACGAAAGAAATTATTAAAAATGGCATCCTTTTGTGTCTCTTCGCACAAAGGGAGCGATGTCCCGAACAGATGTTCAAAAGACCAAAGGGACAAAGCGCGCTCACCGATTTGAATGTTTTCGTAGTGCGAGAGATGATATTGACAATAAAGGGATGATAATAAGGTACGTTTGATAAAAATATTTTTTGTGGAATGAAAGAATTAGCTTGAATAAAATTGATGTTAAATAAATTTTGAAATCTTTTATTATAACATTTTTTTGTGGAAGAAGAATAGCTAAAAACATGAATAATTTTTATTAATACTGTAAAACCTCGATATAACAGATTAATACGGGGAAGGGAGTGTCTGCAAAAAGTCTGTTAAATATATTAAAAATTTTTAATTTGCACTTTAATCTGTTTGAATCAATAATTTAAATACACACAAATTCAAACACTTCATAATGTTTCTAGTTCTTGGTCTAGTGTTAGTTTTACAATTTAACACTGAATAACAACTAAAACTAGTACTAACCGATCTGCGGAAGAGGCTCCCTACTCTTTACGCGGAGCCATCGACCTTCCACAAAACTGAGTATTAAAACGGTAACTACAATTTTTACACGTAATTAAACTAAATGAGTAAGATGTCGGACATGGAAAAAGTAATGAATATGTTTACGATGATAAAAGAGCAACTGAACGACATAAGAGCAGATCTAGCAGAATCATGTAACATCAACAAAAAATTAGAAGATGTTGCCGTTGAACAAGAAGCAAAAATAGAACGGCTGGAAGCGGAAGTAAAGCGTAAAAATGTAATTATACGCGGGATGCAAGTTCGAATCCTTCGAAAAAGCGGTTTTGGTCATGTTACGCGAGATTGGAGTAGAGGATATCATAACCGACCATTTAGATAGTCAGAAAGAATGAAAAAAATTATTTTAAGTAACGCCAAAAAATTAAAGGGTAAAGATATTTGGATCAAGACTACTACCAAAAAGTACAAAAGCAAGGGCGCGAGTTGATACTAAAACTAAAAAAATTGCGTGCAGAATAGCACAAGGCTATCTTAAGAAATAATAGACTGATTGTTGATGATAAGATATATGAAGGAAATACTACAAACCCAGCGCCAGAGAGCACTCAAAACAAAAGAACTATTTCGCAAAGATCGCCATCTGATGAATTAGAGAAGAACATTTGGTAAGCAGCAAAAAACTCCAAAAAGTAGATACGGATAAAAAGATATGACGAAATAGGCGCTAATGTTGGATATGAGGATGGCAAGATATACAAGAAAATCAAAAAGGAAAACACAATAAAAATGGCGACATGGAACGTAAGAGACATACATAGTAAAGAGAAAGAGTTATTAGAAGAAATCAGACACTCGGAAATCGGTATTGTAGCATTAACTGAAACCAAAAAGAAAGGTAAAGGCCAACTAACACTAGATGATAATTTGCTGATATACAGTGGAGGGGAGGAAAACGATAGAGTGCGTGCAGGAGTCGGGTGTTTAGTGATGGAAAAATATTTAAAAGCTGTAAAAGGCTGGAAAGCAATAAATGAGAGGCTTTTGGAAATAGAGTTGGAGATAGCAAAAATTCATAAAACTTTTGTAATAGTCTGTCATGGCCCAGATGAGAACGAAACAGTAGGCGTAAAACGCAAATTTTGGGAGGAACTGCAGGCGTTGGTGGAAAATACTGAAGGAAGATTATTACTGACTGGGGAGACGTCATAGGCCCACATGGTGAGAATAAGTTTAACAATAACGGTAAACGACTGCTAGAATTCTACTTAGACAATCAGCTAGTTATAACAAGCACATTCTTCGAACACAAAACAATACATAAGATGAACTAGGCAATGCCAAACAAGAAATGAATGTTCCATCATAGATTATGTCGTGGTGCAGAAAACATACAAAAACAGTATTTTAAATACAAGAGTAAAACGCGGTTATGAGTTGAATACCGATCATTACCTACTAGAGACTGAATTAAAAATTGCAACCAAAGATGTTAATGTAGTAATAGACAAAGAAAAACCACCTATATATAAAATAAAGCTCCATAAGCTCAGAGGTGACTCCCATCATTTAAAAACTGTTTTGATAAAGGCAGCAAAAAGTAGTTGTGGGGTAACTACAGAGAGACACTTTCTAAAAAGAACCCACTGGTGGAACACCGAAGTTAAATTAGAAATATTTAAGAAGAAAAAGCTGTGGAAAATATATATTAGAACCCCAACAAGAAGTAATCTCAATAATTATAAACAACAATGCAAACAAGTCAAGTTAACAGTGCTGCAAGCAAAGAGAGACGGCTGAGATAAGTTCGGAAAAACGCTGGAGAAAAACCAAAAAGAAAATCAAAAACTATTTTCTAAAGCAATAAAAGAGATAAAAAACAAAAATAAAAAGGAACACTGCTTTATTAACAATAAAAATGGTAGACTATTAACAGATGCTAATGATATTATAGCAAGGTGGAAGGAATACTACGAGGATCTGCTATAAGCTAAAACAGATTTAAGTAATGAAGACAGAAGCTACAACGTAGAAATGACACCGAGAACTGAGAATCAAATAACAATGCAAGAGTTGGAAAAGGTGATACAAAAAATTAAATTGGGAAAGTCAAAATTTATGAAAAAATACTGGAGGCTAGACTAAGATCCGAAATTGAACACAAACTGCAGAGCGAGTAAAGCGGATTTAGACCTGGACACAGTACGCAAGATCACCTCTTCACTCTGCATCAAATAATTGAAAAAGGGCTATGTAAAAACAAAGTAATATACCTTGCGATACCATCAACAGAGAAGCATGAGCTGGTGAAAAGTATAACATGGATATATATAACAAGGAACCAGAGTACCATATTCCAATTTTGTAAGAACAAACGCATAGAAGTACCGTTAATGCGGCTACGTTGTTAAATTTTTTACATTGTCTGATGATAAAACTCAATGCACCAGAGGCTGACTTTACTATAGCGTTAACATGGTCTTTGAATTGCAACTGGTCATCGAATAAGATACCCAGATCTCGAATAACGCATTCTCTGCGTATTGCTTCAACTCCCACACATTAATTAAACGTTATTAGGTTATTACACCTTGTGTAAGATACGACAACGCATTTTGCTATATTAAGATCAATTCCATTCTGTACGGACCACGAACTGATAATGTTCAGATTGCGCTGTAAGATAACACAGTCTTCAAGGGATGTTACACGAACGAATATCTTTAAGTCACCACCGTAAGCAAGCACATTACAATCAAGTCGTCGTAATAGATCTTTTATATAAACATTGAAAAGAAGGGAACCCAGGTTGGAACCCTGTGGAACACCATAGCCAGCAGTGAATGTATCAGATTTAAAACCGTTGTAGCTCACGTAGCAAAGTCTATTGGAGAGGTAAGATGAAATTAAATCCACGAAATCATTTGTAAATCCAAGACTGCAGAGTTTAAAACGAAGTATACGGTTGTAGAATACATTGTTCTGAAGCGATCTTTCTAATAAAATTTTTTCGAAATGTTTATAATAACCGCACGGGAACTGTTTAACGACGACCAATAACGGACGACTTTGATTCATCGAAAAAGTTTATTTCTCTTTCCATGACGAATCTATTGGTGAGTACACGTGGGAAACGAGTTATCATCGGCGTAGCGGACCGGCCGAGGGTGGCACCGATTACCTGAGTCTGATTTGCGATCTGCTGATTGGACGAAAAACAGTTCCTTTAAACAGTTCCCGTGCGGTTATTATAAACATTTCGAAAAAATTTTATTAGAAAGATCGCTTCAGAATAATGTATCCTACAACCGTATAATGCTCTGATGCGGAAGATACGGGACACGCTGTAGAACTTGTTGTCGTTTATCCATGTGCTTGCTGATGAACTGCGTTACCTCTGCTAAATTAGTCATAGTTGAACCACCAGTCATAAATCCGTGATGATGATCAGATATTAATGGGCGAACTCCGAGCAACATCTCCAAGACCTTTGAGCAATTGTTCAAAATGCTAATAGGTCGGTAATTTTCAATAAATCTGTCTCTCTTTTTAAAAACCGGCATTATCCGAGCTTTTTTCCATACTGCAGGAAAAGTTTTAGTTTTTAAGCATAAATTAAATAATATATAAAGGTTAAAGGTCTGCTGAGGAAGGTGCACAATCTTTAATAATAAAGCTTGGGAGAGCGTTGTCGCCAGCAGTAAAGTCATTCTTTAATAGTTTCATACAGATTTCTACCTCCGCGACAGAAAATGGAGTAATGTAGAAGGATCCAGGACAGTTGACTTGCTGGTTACAGTTATTGATAGTTAGCCTGCACTATTTTCAGGGGATCAGAGATCTCATAGCCAGCAAAGGTCATACACCCTGGAATATGCGAATTACCATCCTAATTCACATAACGCGAAATTTTTGAGGTCGGTGGATAGACCGTATAGACAACTCGAGAAATACCCCGAGTTTATCTATGACTTTTAGTGTGCAGCAGTATGACTTAAATATATTTTGTCCGTTATATCAGAAGTGCGTTTTAACGAAGTCCGTTATATTGAGGTTTTACTATATTAAAAAAATCTGTTTTTAACAAAGTAAATTTGGAGTCGGTGGCAACCAAAGACTTTTACAACGTACTAAAATCTCGAAAACTAAGTACAGTAAGTCGTTTCAGTTTTAGTATGCGCTGATATGAAGTGCCCATAAAGCAGTCTTCCCCTAATAACCATAAACCCGCGTCGCCGTCGCTCAGCTCTCGTCAGTCCGTTCGAAAGTCGCAAGAACAACCTTCAGGAGCCCCGCCAGCTATATCTGGATATTAAGATCGCCGGAACGTTGTTATACACTTCTCCAACCCTCGGAAAACCGGGGCAGCTTCGAAGCCGATAGAGCTATCTTCTCTGGGTCTCTTAAAATTCCCGATGCGAAACCCGATAGATGGTTCGCGCTATCTCGACGCGATCTTCGGCGCCTAACCGAGTTACCGGCTATCTTACGCTCACCCCCATAACTTAATTACAACTAACAGTCCGCAGACTTCCTTAAAACTCGCGGGCGTGATTCTATTCCGAAGTGTATTAGTTCGTCGGATGCGATAAGAAAATTTCCTTCTTCTTTCATCTCTGACGATGCTATCCAGCGATATCGGGTTAATCCCAGAATCCTTTCAACGGAAAGTTAAAAGTTTTTTTTTTAGAAATAACTTGTCGTGTTTTTCAAACAAACCCCAAAGCAATTTTATTTTTTCATTTACTTTTGATCTATATTACATTGTTTTTATGAAACTTAAAAATCTAATTAGCACAAAATAAATACTTACGTATTTCATTAAAGTAGAAGGGAAAGTCTCCTGAGACGGAACAATTTAGTCTGGATTTTAGGAAAGACGTCCATCGGTTTCTAAACCTGTGCGGTCCTCCGCGATCGTTTTTGCACACCCTGGCAACCCTCGAGTAGACGGTCTAGAAAAAGAAATTAGAGTTAATGAAGATAACGGTTGGTTAAAGTAAGAAGGGAGGGTTGTTAATTATAGTGACTAAATTGATTTCCGCTAAATTGTAAAAGGTTTCTGAACGTGAGGGTGCGATAATAATTTTAGGGTGGAAGCTTTGATAAAAAAACGAAGGCTAGTCTAATTGACAATGGCACAATTGGGCGTTAACACTGTTGGTACTAACGAATGCGAGGATATCAGATTACCCTCGCGTTTTATACAACAGTTCGTTATCTTTCTATCGGATAATACGTCATTCGGTTAACTGGAAATTAACATGTCTATGTCTATCTTTATACATTTCAATTTTAGTGTTGCAACTACTATTTCAGTAAATATTTCATTAAATATGATTCGAAATGTCATACATTAGAGGGGTTGCAAATCTCAATGTAATTTATATTACTATTTCAGTGCATATTACTGTTTTTGATATGTTAGCTTTCAAAGAATTTTTTGTCCAAACAAACGTTTGAAATATACTGAAACATCGTACTCATCTTCAAATAAATGAAAGGTACTATAGTACACGTTTCAATGTATTAATAGTGACTGCAAAGTAAAAGCTCAAAGAGTTGAAAATGCTTATTTACCCACAGCATCAAAAAGATTTTGATTGATATAGCTATATGCTATACCTGACGACTTCTCGCATGATTTTTAATTGATTAGTGTTATTTGTATTACATGACGAAATAATTTCTTGTTATTTATAATCTGGAATTTTACCAACAACATTTATTAATCAGGAGATTTTAGTAGAATTAGATCAATTTTAAATGATTTAACAGCATTTCCCTTACAAGGAATCCACCAACATGAAGTTAATTTCTTTATGATCTAATTTTGAAACTGTTTAGTAAACGAGGTATAATTACTAGAAAGTTTTCAAAGATGCCTTGGGGCTTACACCACAACCAAAAGAAGCGATGAAATTAAGAAATCAATTTAGGTTTGATTATCCTAAAAAATTTAATTTTATAATTTAAATAAAGTAATCGTTTAAAAAAGTGTATTTCGATGAAATTGTTAGACGACTTGCTTGTAACGGAATATCGAGTGTGATAAGTAAGTTAGGGATAAGTTTAATGGAGAATTTAACAGTGGATGAAACAGTTCTAGTTAGATTTACATAATGTATACGATGGTGTACTACTGCATTCAAGTTTATTAAATTATTGTCATGAAAAATGTATGTTCCCTTCTTGTTAGACTCTAGTTGCATTAATAATCGCAGACCTATTACGACTTTATCATTTATTTACGTATTACAAGCATTTGACACGGTGAATCACTTACTTGTGGATGTCATACTGAATTATATATGTTTGTCTTTGTGTGCAATCTAATTAATGTTTAATTAAGTAATCGTCTGCAGAAGGTTAAATTAAATACTATTATCTGCATTGTTCAATAATTGTTAGCGAAGCACAATATTTAAAAATTTGTTTACTCTATGCACATTATAACATTTTTATGCATCGATTTTTTCTGTGAAATTCGCTTTTAATTTGTAATATTTTACTTGATAATAAACTTCATAGTGGACTGAGTATGCGCTTCCAAGAGCAATAAAAATTCTTTCAGCGCAATCCAACGTACCAATGCGGTTGCTAGCCTAAGTGCGTTGTTATATGAATCCTTTAACAACCGTTAGCAGATTCCAGAGGTTGAAAATAAATCCTTAGCTCTTATTAGTTATTCCTCTAATACAGGGTTAGGCAGGGAGATATGGATGGTTTGAACGTGGCGCCACGCCAGGTGTGGAGAACCTTGGTGGATAAAGAGTTTGTTGTATTTAGTTATTAGTAAGAATGAAGACGTGGTCGAGTATCAACCTCAATACTGTATGGTTTCAACAAGATGGGGCGACATGCCATACATCGAGAGCAGCTATTGACTTTTTAAGGCAGACCTTCCCTGGACGCCTCATTTCATTGTATGGAGATGTGAAGTGGCCTCGTCGATCACCGGACCTGTCACCTTGTGACTTTTTTTTATGGGGCTACCTCAAAGCACGAGTATACATAAACAAAGCACGTACACTTCAAGCCCTAAGTGAAACAATAACACAAGAAATTCTTTAATTTTTGTAATGGCAACATTCAAGTTACACATTGAAGAAATAAAATTTGAGTTTCGTTGTAACTGTTATTTCAAATCATCCATATCTCCCTGCCCAACCCTGTATATGGTAATTGGAGGCAGAAGAAAGGGCATACGATTGGAGGATACCTTAGGGTGGTTATAAACAAAGATGGAGAAGACATTAAAGATGTAATGAGGAATGTTGGCAGAGGAAAAAAAGCAACAAAGACAATGCATTCGATTCTGTGGAATAACAACCTAATGATACAAACAAAGAAAAATATTTTTAGGGCCATTAGAGAACCATTAATACGACGTATGGGTCAGAAGTGTGGATGAGTGGCAAAGACACAACTCGAAAATTGCTACGAGTTGAAAATGAGGAAATAAGAAGAAGAACAAACTGTAGCTCTTCTCCTTGACAGTTCTATTTACGTTAGTCATTATATCCTTGTTGGCAGGTGCGAGATGATCTTTAATGAAATATAGAATCCCAATCGAACCTAGCGAACCAAACCACAAAATAGCTTTGCAGCAACAAAAAGTGTACTTGTATTAACTAGGATTTCATTCTATGGTTTGCCCTACAACTCTAGGTTATTCCTACGGGAGTATTGTTGCAATTATCCAACCTGATGATTATGTAGTATGATCAACAATTTCGCCGTACATCAAGCACATAGATTTCATATCGATTCGCAACTCTGACTATGTTAAAAATAGATTCAAGAATGACTGCAGCAACACTAGGATGTGTTGTAATGGAGTAACTAATGAAGTAATATCCAAAAAGAAAATCCAAAACGAGATTTATTGAACGTTGGTTGAATATACATATAATATTGTAATGTGTAATGATCAATGTAATGTTACAGAATCTCGAAAATCTTAAAATGATTAAATAGCAAGAATACAAGAAAACATAAATGAAATAAGCAATGGTGTAAATCTTTCCATTTGTTGGATTAAAATATACATATTTTATACAAAGTTGAGGAGGGAAGGTATTGTGCGTGGGATCGACGTTGTTCCGTTTACGGTGGTCCCAAGAGCATCGTATTCTCACCTAACTAATCTGTGTGAGCCATCGGGAGACACCTTACCGTGTAAATTTTTAATCCCCACGGACGTGGCTGGCATAAAATTTTATTTGCAAGCTTCTGTGCGATTGTTTATATTCGACAATCGTAAAATTTCAAGGAATCTTAGACTAATTTTGAAAAAAAGCTTATAAAAAAAAGGCACTAAAGTGACACACTTCCAAATTGTAGACAATAAGATAAAAATTGAGTTGTGACGTGCTAGAAATACCCATAATTGAAGTTGTCGCTTTGTCTTTAACTTAATTTAACATTAACACTTGAAGAAACTTGTATCACGTTATCTGTATTTAAGATAATTCGGATTATTTTGATGAAAAATACTATATTACTTTGATCAAAATTCAAGAAACACTTCAAGAACTTGATGCTATTTTGTCCTTGTTTAGTGGACACCCAAAACTGAGTTAACATTAAAAAATTGTCTACTATAAAACATGTAACGTAATAGAGATTTCAGGTGTAGCAATTGTAACAGTTATGACAACATCTTTATACGATATTAACAAGGTAATACTTTTGTTAAAAAACATCAATATGAATTATTTTGTGACATTGCGAATTAGTACAATTTTTTAAAAACGGGGAATGGTCGTTTTGATGAATATAAAGGATTCAAAGATGGGTAATAATACTGTGTTTTTGAAAAGTTTCTTTTATATGTGTGCATTGTCTACGCTTGGCTATTGTACAGAATAGGTTCTGATATTCTAAAAAACTACACGCAAAAATTGCTGGATGGGAATTGCGGCAGGTTTGGATAATTACGACAAAGAAACGAGGAACGAATTGTAGTTCGAGAACAAACAAGAAAGACCAAATTTCACAATCAGGGAACAAAAAAAACTGTGACACATGTAAAGATAATATTTTATATATTTCTTATATTCTTAGGATTTTATTGCATTGTATAACGTTGTAAGTATACTGATAAAAAATTCGAGATGTTTTTCTTGAAATTTTTGGTGAGTAGGAAATCGCTAAATAAACACCGAGTAGCAACGAGTAGTAAGAACATCCTGGTATACACAGGTGATTAAAGAACTGACAAAGGAGAAAAGGAACGCGTATCTGAAGTATAGAAGTTCAAAGACGCAGGAAGAAAGGGAAAGATATGCAAGCGTTCGGTAAGAAAGTGAATGCTAAAAATTAAAAAAAATCAGAAAAGACTCTGGAAAACGAAGAAGTTTAGAAGATGATTTAAAATTATAATTGCCTAGCGTACGTGTGTTTCGTCAACCTAACAAAAGGTTTTGATAGAATCAGATTAAAGGATGTACTTCACATACAAAAGTTCGGAAAACTACCTTATAATAAAATGCGGTTAGTTGTGGAGATAAACAGAGACAAGAAAACAAATTAAAGTACGCAACGATGTCACTGAGGAAATCCCGGTTTCTCAAGGAATCAGATTGGGTGATTCACTGAGCTCATTCCTCTGATTGTAGAAAAGATAATAGAAGAAGTCAAACCTCTGACTATGGCGATACTTAACTCCAGGTTCATTGTGTAAATTAATAGTTAAGAAATGAATAAATCCAATATTTTGTTCCACAATGATATTTATTTTATTTCAATCTGTACAACACGTGTTTCGCTTATCTTATATAAGCGTCATCAGGTACAACTAAGGTAATTAAATTAGGTGTTAAAATTATAGTCATAAGTTTAAAAATTTAATAATTACCGTCAGTTACGTCAGACTTGCAATGTATTAAGAGAAATAAACATGATGAAGGCGTCGAGAGACTTGAATTACAGTTCAAAGAAGAACAAATTGAAAAACTAAAAAACACTTTAAAAAATATTCAAATTTAAACCAATAAAAGTAAATTATTTGCAAGAAACAGGGTGCTGTATAAAATTAATTAATATAATAAAAGGTTAAAAATACCTTAACATATGAAAGCCGTGTGCACGCTATCGTGTTTCGAAACGGTCGGATGTTAACGTGAGGGCGAAAAATAAAATTGAACAGAGAGAGGTGACAAAACCTGCAAGGAGCGGAAAATTTGACTCAAAATATATTTATTAAAGGAATACGGAAAATAATCTATTTTGGAAAAAATCTGTATAAAGGTTAATTAAGAGGTCTGGATTAGATTTGTTGTGTGATCTAATAAAATATTCCTCGTACAGGTCCATCTTTTTGGATTTCTTTATGTCTTTTAGGAGGGAAATATTAGAAAGATTAGATTTTTGTCCCATTGCAGTTAAATGTTTGAAAAAGGCAGAATTATTTTTTGAAATGTGTTCTTTATACCTAGTTTTTATGTTACGCCCCATTTGACCAATGTAATAACAATCGCAATCTTCGCAATTAAGCTTATAAATGCCACTTTTATGGTTTTGATCGAATTTATGTTTATTGTTGACAAGTAATTGACCCAATTTACTGACGTCTAGTACAAAGCGGAATACGATAAGATAAATATAATCTGCTATGCAGACGATGTACTACTTATTGCAGAGAACGAAGGTTATCTCCAAAGGTTCCTCCATAAATTTTGCGAAACATTAAGAAAACACACTATGACGATTACCACAGAAAAACCCAAAACATTAGTGACGTTCAGGGAGTCTCGAAGATGCAAAGTGGAGCTGGATAACAAATAATCATAGAATACGTTGTTTAAGTGTTAACCTACAACAATCTGGGAGTCGAAATTTCAAGTAATCGCAACCTATGCAAGGAGGCGTAAAATCATTAAAGAAAGCATGCTGGCACAGGAAAGCATTTTGGAGAAACAAATACATTTAGTGAGTAAAATCAACAAGGCGATAGTTCGGTCTGTGCTAACCTACAGAACAAAGAACCAGAGCAGAAACACAGAGAACAAAGCACAAACTAAGAATGATTTAACTTCATTTCTACCGTTCCTCCTAATCGATAGGTCGATCCTATTGGATATTCTCTACAAGACCGACACACAAATAAGGCAATAAGACAGAGAGATGGGGGCATACAGATGTTGGCAGGTGGGCCATGGAAATGGAGTCAACTAAACAGTGTAATAATTTGCCTCATAAACCCTTTAAAATGCTTTTAAACCAGAAATAATATCCTAATCATAAAACTAAGATAACTGTTGGAGTATTAATTGAAAGTGTAACATCTCGATTTGGAGTCTCTAATATACATTCAATGGTTTAAGATAATTCTCCATTACGCAGTGTACCAAAAAGAATATGATGGATATGTAAAAATGAGTTATGAGTGCTTTCTTATACGTTTAGCAAATAGAGTGGCAGTAGATTAGTAACTTGAGGTGTTGCGTGTTTTTGTGATAATGGATGATCTTGTTTATACAATTTAAAATATGGCAAATGTTAATTTATAATACACTATAACAAGGTATCATTCAAGGACTGCTTAAGAATAAAGTCCAGTAAATTGGCTAAGATGTGAAAATATTTATTGTGATCGCAAACAAGCTGCTTCGATGTATCCTAATTTTTCAAAACAAAACTGACATTATAAATATATTTGTTAATTTGTTTCTTGTTTTCCGATTTTTGCAATGTAAAATGAAAAGAAAGATTTTAAATAAATCGAGAGCAAATCTTACAAAATCATTGACAGTTTCATGAATTGTGAGCATAAATCTATTCAAAATCAATCTTATATTTAGGGCAACTGTAGACCAGTGTAACTGATAACTCCTGAAAATAGTCCAAAATACAGTATTACGTGTGCTTCTTACACCTCTTGATATGAATAAAATGAATTCCCCAGTTGATTAATCGTCTTACAAGAAACTGTGCAAAGGCTTCTTTGCTTGTTGATTTGAATCCGGCATTTCTTGTGTTGCACTCAACTACAATTACAAATGACTCCTATTCGTTTAGAATATGATATACAGTGCTTCCCAAAAGTAATGGATAAATTCGTTAAAACAATTAAAAACGGTTTGTAAAAAAATCGATGAGAGGGGTCTAAGGATATAAATTATTTTATATCCGCTATTTTTAAACCAGTTATGACATCATCGCTATTTTATTCAAATAGCAATCCCCCATGATTATCAAAGGATAATCATCATCGTATCTTTAAAACCACTGAATTAAATCATTAGAGACAAGGTATTAATTTTGAAATACCTTGTATACTAATTTATTAACCTGGCTTGAAGATTTATACATCATAATTAAGATTATTCATCTTACCTTTCCACAATTGATATACTCGACGGCGGTTTCTCTGAAGAAAAAGTAAACGAAATCTCCTTGTGCCATAGAACTGACAAAATCCGGGGCTGAAACAATAATAATAAGACTCGTTTTCTCATCTTTTCTCGTCGAAAGAACAAGAAGGCGATTACTCACCGTTCAGGCTCATGGAATCGTATTGTTCTGTTTGGAGCGCCTCCCTGTAGATAATGGGGTCCATCCCGCTGAAATCGGCCACGGTTCCCGAGTACAGGTCCCCATCTGAAACAATAACGCCTTATTCTATCGAGTTCGATTCTATACGTAGCGTGTTGGAAATGTGGTGGTGGAATCGAAAGATCGAAAGCCACGACGGACAATGAGGAGTAGGAATAGAGAGGAATAATCGATCGGAAACTGATTGGGAATTGTCTTTTGGTCCCCAGATATTGCCATTGAATCCTTTTGTATTTGAGAAAAAGTGGTAATTGGCCGTTGTCTCTTTGAATCCTCCCGACATTCGGTTAATCTAGAAGATCCCTATCTGATGTCTATTTCGTTATTCTATTAAAGTATTTTTTTATATGATAACAGAAAAGAAATAAATAAGGATCAGAAAATAAAAATTTCTGTACTTTCTAAAACACTTCGTATCGACACGACAACGATATTTTCTATTTATCTCAAAGGGAAACTAACTTCTGGCGACGCTTAGGTGAAAATTTCGCGCTCATAAAAATAAATGAGCTCGCGGCAGTTTCCGGAATGAAACCGTATCTCCTTCTTCCCGGAGGTCGTTTGCAGTTCGGTCGCGACGGACGACTTTATGTTTCTTTGTATCAGCAAATTGGGTAACATTTTTACGATCCAACTTTAACAAGCGCACTTTGTTTTCTCCTCTCCGGTCCCCGCTAGCGCGCTTCTGATATATTTCAAAGGGCGCTGGACTATCAAGGACAAAGGGAAGAAGAAAAGAAAATCCAACTGAAACGCAAAAAGTAGAATACTACGTCAAAAAACATGATACCGTCCGTCGTCGAAGTAAATCGTATATAAACACATAAGTTCGCCCATTGCAACGTAATAAATATTTCATGAAAAGAGGTCGTCGGCATTGTGGCTGCAACGAAATGAAAGAATATACGGACGGCGTCGTGGATTTTGATGGAAAATTGGAAAAGCGTGGTCTGAAAATGGAAAAATAGGGGTTTGGCAAAATAAGGGATTACTTATTTTATGACTGGAATTTGTGTACGGAAAATATTCATACAAAAAAATCTTGTAAAATAACAAATTTATTTTGTCCCGACGAAACGAATAGATTTATTTTTAGTATTTGTAAAAAAAATACCAACTAAAAATGAATTTTTTGCACAAAACTTCTTTAATTTGTGTTTGAATTGTTGATGAACAAACAACATGAAATAATGAAAAGCAATTTTCACGATGGCTAAAATTAGAAGCTCAACTCCGCACACGACATAACAATTAAGGTGACAGATGGAGTACTTTCATAAATAATCCGGTCCCATCCCAACAATCAGCAGAATGACGACGTCCACAGGATTGACCCTTTAATACATCAACCGTAACGAGAGAGAGTTCTATCTGTGTGAAAGTCATTTTGCTTCGGCGACGCAACGATGACAGCGCCGTGTAATAAATATTGATGCAAAAGTTACTAATGGGATGATAAATTTTAAACAACGAAGCGGTAGGTCCACGAATTATCCGAGACGGTGGCGCTAATTGTCGCTTCTGAGGATCTCTGTTTTCCCGGCCGACAACGTCATCTGCAAAGTTTCGTTGACGCGAAAAGAGAATAGGAAGGAGAACGCGCGTCGCGACTTTATTAAAGTTAATTGGAAAAGTTTGGCATCCATAATTCCAATGATTAATAATGAGGTCTGGACGGTTCAGATTTTCCGGCTTGCCGTTAATGGTAATTAAAGGATAAATAGATGGATGTGGAATGTTATTCTCGGTAATAATAATTGAAGTGACATAGAAAACTTTTATCACTTTTTGTGACTTTATTTATGCCAATTAATTCGTAATTTAAAATGTAACTCCAACGAGGCGTTCTCCGTTGAGATAAACATGGATTTTAGTTACTTCAAAGGCTTTTAGTTTTCGTAACGAGATTCTATAATGAGGTGTTTAGCGTACGAAGTTTCTCCTTTGAATTACAACTTTGTTCTACCAAAAACGCTATGTAAAATCATTATAAACTAAATTTAGGTACAAAATATAGTGTATCCAATCAAATAAAATCAATAGAGTTTAGGAGAGTTTGAACAAATCCTTAAACGATTTTTTCTTACATCATTATGTGCAGTTTGAAAAGTATCATTATGGAGAAGATATATCATAAAAAAATGTAATAAAAGAAATGTTATTTACGATTGTTGACGAAGGTAATGGTATTTTTCTGGCATTAGACTACGATAACATCTTCATTAGCTAAATCAGATAGATTTGAACGTCCCACTGTATATTTTCTTATGACTTTTTCTGACATGATTTCTTTAGCTGAATGAATGGATTCTATCGTGGAAAAGGTGTCATTGCCATACAGAAATTTCAATACCATACACTGTGCCACTTTGTTTTTTTTCATCATGTTGATCGATTGAGAGTTTACTCCAACAATTCCGAGCGCATAAATAAAAAAGTAAGAAGTTTAAATAAGCATCAGAGAACGAACAGAATGAACTTAGTTATAGCCTCGATAGTCTTTAGAAATATATGCATTTCAATCATTGAGTCAAAATTAATAACAGACACTCAGTGAGATATTCAGAATATTTTTGATGACTTGGTTGATTCTTCCATTTACATGCAGTTGTAAATTATTTACGTTGAAGCAATGATGAATTCACTAAAGAGCTACAAATATACAAACGATTAACATATTCGCCCAATTGTTAATTTTCACCAGAAATTATAACTTTATGATTTTTGTAGTTGTCATTATCAAAATCCTTTGCTATGAAACACAAAAGCGAAAATTTTTAAAATCACAAAATAGACGGTATTGGTTATAATTGATTATATCTCCAAAGTTAAAACACTTGTAAGAGAAATGATAGCCGTAAATATGGTTCGTAACAAATCAACAAGATATAATTCAGAACTAGTTCTAACATATATAGCTATGACCATCATGTGCAGAAGAAGCAAAGGTTGCCAAAATCATTTATAACTCAAAAATAACCAATTATTTTCTGTATAATAATGAATTATAAAATGATCATCTATAGGTATTAGGTTAAACATAGCTGTCCTCATTATGCAAGTATAAAGTTATCACTAAAATCACAAAATAGAAGACATGCCATCACTGATTTTAACGCAAAATTCTAAGGACCATAAAATAGTTCATAATATGTTGCAAAAAAATAACTTATAATAAGTTCAAAGCCACCTCATAGCATTATCCAGATAGATATGAGAATTCTGTTCAAACTTAACTTTGCCTACAACTTAAATACAAAGAAAAATGTACAAAATCTTAAATTAGTAGATTTTTGTTATCATCATTAGTTTTATTCTTTACTTTCTTTCTTAATATCATATAAAATATGATATTTTGATCACAGGATCCAAAATAAAGGTACTTCAGCAACTACATCACTTTCATCAGTTTGAGGAGACTGAATTGGGTGTCCAACTGTATGTTTTATTTTGGCGAAATTTAGTAACTTTCAACATAGTTTTATCATACATTCACGGCGCTGCAGTTATGACATATCGAGGATGCCATAAATTAAACTTCTCCTTGCCATAACGAATAATTTATAATTGACGAATTCTTTCTTATGTTTGGAGTGGTTTACATAAGTTGAGCCTAAGCCTACACAAGTTTAACAAGTCAAAAGTTCAACACTATACGCTGAACCTCTATTTTTTAGAATATCCACGTGCCATTTTGTAAATAAGTTCCTCGAGCTTTTAGATAAACCATTAGAATCTAAAATTATCTGTAATAGTCGAAACACAACGTTCTAAAATTTTTTAAATCATGTATAAAACTCATAAAAAAATTCAAATAAATCAAATTACACGATCTAATCACACCCCATTTATATGGCTTTGCTGGCATATACTGACGTAATTGAGATTTCATTTGGTACGAAATAAAGTCCTGCATTTAATCGATTAACATGCATATTAATGGATTATAGCATGAATTATTTTAGGATTGTATTCATTTCTATCACTCAATGTAAAATATTTTCGAATCTCGTAACAATTAAAAAGCTATTAATATAATCGTTCAATCATTATTTGTTGTTATTTATTGTTTTACTTAAAACATTGCAAACTTTAAAAGTTACCTTCTACTTTTTATTTCAGTTTATTGTAAAAAATGTAAAAAAGGAATGAAATGGCATTCAAAACTTACTTTTATTTTCTACAAACCTAATTTTTCCTCAGAACGTTGACGATATCAACCGTTTCGAAGCTGTTGGTATTTTTATTTAGTAGAATTTTATTTATTTATTTGCAATTTATGGGTACAGAGACAGGACAAACCCAAAAGATCTGTACCACGAATAAACTTACAATAAAAAGAAAACGTGTAACAAATAAAAAGGAATAATTAAAAAAAAAAAGAAAAACCAAAAATTAAGGCGAGCAATTAAAAATTAAATTAAACTTAAACTAAAAACAGCGGAATTCTAATATCATTATATACTCCAACGTCTCTAATAAAGGAAAGCGTGTTAAGTTTTCACCAGCGATGCTGTAATCGTAATGAACAGTATTCTTCCGTCTCGAAAAAGAAAAAACGTTACATTTAGACAGATTTATTGTCAAGTTGTTTTTAGTGCAAAAGTCAGAAATCTTAAGAAGGTTAGTCTGCAGCCTAGAGCAGTCCATCGGAGAGGAGATACGCAAATAAAGCTTGAGATCATCTGCGTACATTAGACATTCACAATGCTTAACAACCTTGAATATATCGTTAACATAGAGATTAACTAGCAAGGGTCCGAGGTGGCTACCCTGAAGGACGCTCGAGGGAACTGAAACAAGGTCAGAGTAATCCATTAACAGACACAATCTCGCAAATATGAATCAAACCAGCGGAACAACCCACCATGAAGTTTTGATAAAAGAAGGCTGTGATCCACACGATCAAAAGCCTTGCTAAAATCGGTGTAAACAGAATCAACTTGACAATATTGATCAAATGATGTTGAAATATAATTTGTGTATTCAAGCACAAAAAAATATTTAAAAAAAAAATAATAATTTGTTGTCTGGAATCGATTTCGGATTTAAGTCTGGTATAAACCAGTTTCTCTAAAACTTTACCAAACACAGACAATATAGATATTGGGCGATAATTAGATATAAGGTTATGACTACCGAATTTGAAAATGGGCAAAATATAGGCACGTTTCCAAAAGGCAGGAAATGTACCATCCTTTAGAGATTTGTTAAATAAGATCGAAAGTGCTACAGAAAGAGATTCAAAACATGATTTTATTAGGATAGGAGGAATACCATCAGTGCCTGGACCCTTATTTATGTTTAAAGCAATAAGTGCTTCCTCAACCTTAGACCGCTCAAAGCGCATCAGACCCAAACATGTAGTATCATTAAGGTCATTAAGGTCACCGTTAGCAGAATTAAGTTTTAAAAGAATTCATGTCGTAGTTGTCAAGATCCCCTGTAAAGTTATTACTCAAACTTTAAGTAGTTGAATTCTAATTCTGTTCTGCAATACGACATATTCCAGTAGCACATGTTGCGGAGTGCCAATCTGTTCACATTTGTTCTTGTCAAAATGTGAAGGTACGTTGTCATTTCGGTCGTTGACATTGGATAAAAGGAAGTATTTCTTTCCCTATTCCATATATATATATTTAATTGTCTCTATCTCGAAGTCTTTCGGTTAGGTTCCCATTACTTTTGTTACCTTATCTTCAACATCTCCTTTGAACCAGTATGTTGCCGCTTTTTTTAGCATTTCTAAGATAAACCAAGATAATTGTTGTCATGATTTGTAAAGATTTTTCATCTGATACAATTTGCACCGTGATCAGTGGGATTTTGTAAAGTTTTTGTGCAAGTTCTGTCGATCCCAATTAATATGGGCGGTTGTGGCCGACATGCATATGTTTGCTATATTATTCAAGAAGTTGAAACTTTTTTCTAGACGTCTGTTAGCACATGAAGGCCCATCTGTTTGTTTGCATTTTATGGATCACCATACTTGACCATAAAAACCTAAAAATTATTGATATCGCCAATAGAACCTTGAATCGAACGCCTTAAAGTCAGAATAATGATATTCTGACTTTTTCCTTTTTCGGTTTAAATGATATAAAGCGGATTTATAGAATTTTTTATTTTCCTCAATTACAACTTGTTGCTGCATATAGAAGAAAAATGAGACAAAAAATGGTACAGGCCGATCAAATTTGACTCAAAATGATTATAAAAATGATATCATCAATTTAAACACAACTAAAAGAATTTTATATTTCTTGTGATGAGATGATTTTTCCGTGTAGAAACTGAAATGTATCTACAAGCGTTCAAGTTCTTTTCAGCTTATTACATAAATTACAAAATACTTTAAAAGCTTTTTTCCTCAATATATCGTTAAAAATGGTAAACGTAAATTTTGCTACTTCGATCTATTTATGTTTTGTCGCAAGTAAAATGACAGGGTCTTGTCCTTTAAACTTTAACGTCAAATTGTACAAGTAAACCGCAAACGTAGACCGCAGTATTCCCGGAAAGCTTTGTGTAGCAAACGCGAAGTTTCCCAGAAACCAATTTATTCCGGTTCTCCGCAAAGCTTCCTGAAGTTGTGCCTTACATAAGTGACTTTTTTATCTTTTTAAAAAGAAATCGTTATCATAACAACATCGACACGCGCTTTCGTTATTAAAATTTCTCAGAATCTACAGCATCGTCACGAAACTGCAACGGATCGCTGGAGAATGTAATTTCGAGTTGCAATTTGTCGTCGATTGTGAGACTCCCAACATCCGGACACCCGTAGTGGAACAGTTGGGAAACTGGATTAAAACCTGTAGCTTCCTTCGAGGGTAAGGCGACGTGACGGTCTGAATATGACCTACGTTATTGATTAATTTCTACGGGATTCATCACTTAAGGGTCGGAGGAATGCGTTGCGATTGCGGCGTGCAAATTGAGAGATATGCCTTCGGTAGATTGCCTCGAGAGAGAGACGGTTTTAATTAGTACGATTCAGAGTTCGGCAACTCGGATTTTCAAAGGAACGAAAAGCGGAATTTCATTTGGGCTTTTGTGGATTTTCCGTGTGGTGTACGAGAAAATTTATGAGATTATTAAAGGGAGTTCTTTTCTAACATTTTTTTTTCGGTGACTATTTAATTGAAATCTCGGGTTAATCGTTTTCAGACAAATGTTTCATTACATCCCTTATATTATAGGAATTGGATTTTTTTTGATAAAACCTTTATAAATGAACTTGTCAAACTTGTTAAAGAAGAATTCAATGGATTAAGCCGTAGGGTAAAAAAAACTCCGTAAAAACTGTGGGGTGGCAATAAAATGAAGCGGACTTAAATTGCCGTCGATTAGTTCTAAATTAATAGGTTTTAATTACCGCCGGCAGTTATTGATGTCCCGGCGTAATTAAATGAAATGTTAAGCCCTTTACGACGCGGCTCGACGGTAACGGGCAGGGATTAATTGGCCCCCGACCAAAAATTTAATAACGCCCCTAAATTCGTCTAAAATCGCGTCAATGCGGACGACGTTTCCTACGCAATTTCATCTCAACTTACCGACGTAAATAGCGGTTGAATTGTGGTGAGGGTCGTAAGGGCAGAGAGCTTGTCCTTGTTTTTCCTTTTCCATCGAATAGTTTCCATCTAATACGTTGTACTCTCTACATACTGGTTTAAAGGAATTTGTTCCGCAAACCAATAAACGACCTTGTGAAGTTTTTGCCATTATTCGTACGTAATTTTGACAGTTTTCCTGAAACAAAAAATAAATAAGATTAGTAATTAAAAAAAACTGAAACAAGATAGTGAAAATTTTATAAAATCATGTACAACTTATTATTCAGAATGGCAAAACGATTTATGATTAGAAGTATTCCGAAAAAACAATTAGAAGAACTTGATAACATTTAATTTTAATTAGCTGGTGATTTTATGATGCTATTCTCTCTTGTCTTCAGAGAAATTCCATAATTGTTCAATACTTCACAGCATAGTTCTGGTTTAGCAATAATTTCCTTCTTTTTGATAATCGCCTCCCTTCTTCTAAAGTCGCGATGAGGGGAAAGAAACGAATGACTAATATTGAAAAGTAAAATTATGTATTTGATGTGGCATAAGATAAAACCCATCGCACTTATAATGGTCAACAGATGAGAAGAAAGAAAGGTTCTGATGCCCGAATAGATTCATTCAAATATTTTAACACATTCCTAGTTTTAGGTTGCTTTCAAATATCCAATACACACTGTGTACAATCACTGGGAGTAGAAAATTACTTGATTTAAAATTCTAAAGAATCATAACATATTTTGGCTTTAACGTGATTTTGAGTTTCTTATTCGGTTCTGGTAGTTTATTGTAATATGGAATATAAATAAATATACCACGACAGTAGCTATCTTGTGTTTCATAATTTCCTTGCTTTCCATAATTTGATAATATGAATATACTCAACAGGTATGACAAATTTGACAAATCTGATTGTGATCACAATCAGTGATGGGCGCTGGGTAAATACCCGACGAGTAGATATTTCTAAACTGGGTATTTACCCCGGCCCAAACAGTGCGTATAAAAGTGATACCAGTGAAAATATATCAGATTCCAAAAAAAATGAAGAGGAAGATGATGATGATGCTCATTCTTCATTCGACATAATTCGCCCAGTTCCACTTAAGCTTTGCTACAATGTTGACCACATCATTTACGCCAGTTCTTCTTCATAGGTCTTCATTTCGTATGTAGTCCCTCAGAGTTACACCCAGGATCGACCTCTCCATCTATCTTTGCGTTACTTGGACCCTCCTAGCAGTGGCTACCGTTAATGTTAATGTTTTGGAGTAGTATGTCATAACCGGAAACACCTTTTCTCTTGAAGCTGTCTCTAAGTTTAACGTAGGCAGCCCGTACGAGTGTGATCCTTCTCTTTAGTTCGCTTGTTTGATTATCTCTCTATACAAGAACCTCATAGCTATGATATACATAGCTGTCAACCCTCTCAATCTCATTATCCCTAATGTTGATGTTAGAGCTGGGAACAAGATTTGTCATAAATTTTGATTTCTCCTCGTTGATATTTAGCCCGACTCCTGCACACACCTCCTTTAAGTCGTTCAGCATTCCGCGCAGCGCAATTTACTTTGGCATTTGCCATCAATGTTTATTTGGCAATAATTGATTCAATGTTCATCGTGGGTTGTAAGTGACAAATAAAGACTCCTTGGGAACGATAAAAAAAATTATTTTTTATTACAAGATCAGTGCAACATGTTTCGAGATTCAAATCTCTTCATCAGGCACGACGTCAATTCTTTACGGAGCATAAAATTGACCATCTGACAAACAAAGAAAAATTAAAGTTTTATTCTTAGGAGTCCATCTGCGACGTGAAGAAACTTGAGGTGGACTATTTATGCCTTTTTGGGTCCAATACAGTTGTTTAAATGCACTCTCCAGAGCAGTGATGAACAATTTGGGTTTAACAGTGTATGGCCTTGTTTTATTCACAATCAGTACATTACTACTTCTACTCTCTTCAATACTTTCATGCAATTTTACCGTCATTGTAGCATTCTTGTAGATGTTATAAATAAGTTTGGTATATCGATAATCGACTCTGCATTCTTGAAGTGCTTGCAAAACTGCCATCAACTCAATTTAAAGTAAATCTTATAAATACCTCTAAATACCCATCTTTGGTACATACCCCGGGGTATATATCCAGGAAATTTACTCTTGAAAATAAATACTCTGCTATTTAACAACATTCACTATGAAAATCCATTTCAAAAATGAACACTATTGTCTTACATCCCCAAACGGCACAAGGAGCGTGATCTCCTCACATCTCCTTAACCTCTTCATCGCAGACATCCCAACAATTAGATCAAGGTAGCTACACATACAGACGACACCGCCATATACGCATTTTTTGTAATTGTTACATAAAATCATCCAAATGGAAAACATCCAGAATATGAACCGGAAAATTAAAAAACTTGAAAGGAGCGTCAAAAATGCTTTCTTAAAAATGCCAGATACTTAAATGTTTAACACACTTAACATTATGGGCTGGAATTCAAATGGATTGCTTAAGCATCAAGAAGAGTTTCCAGCTATCCTCGATATAAATAAGATAGATGTGTGCCTGATATCGGAAATTCATTTTATCAGTATTGCCAGAATCAAAAATAATAGTATAACTGTAGTCAGTCTATATAGTCCTTTCTCCAAAACATAATATCAATTGGGTGCTATTGTAATCACCACGAAAGGTAGAGTATTGCTAAAGGCTGACTGATAAGATCTTAGATAAATCCCTGATAAAAAGCTGATTAAGGAACCTTCAAAATAACGTTAGAAGAAAGAATTGCAAAAGATATTCACCTAAAAAACTACCCTAAAAAAATTCTACAACTGATATCAGAAAAAAAGAAGGACAAGGAAGAAATGGCGGTAGTTCAGAACTCCACAAGACAAAACAAAAGTGAACAATCTTAAAACTCAACTGAGAACTGAAATTAAAAAATTATACCATCAGTGAAGTCCTCCTACATAGATTTACGGTATTGAATATTCATTGTGGAGATTGAGCAAAAATGTAAAAACGTGACCTATAATGCAAACACCTTCGAAAAGAAATGAAGACGGTAGCTGGGCCAGAAATAATGAACAAAAGAAGGTTTGCTCTGCGATATTTCTGAATGTGGCACAAGCCTTCGAGAAAGTATGGCATGAGGGATGAACCTCATGACATCTCCACAACCAATATTTTTTATGCAAAATAATGTGTTTCGGCTCATGATGATATCTCGAACAGTTTTCAACTTAGACAGGGGGAAGGTTTCTTATGACGCGTACTGTATACCGTCAAGAGGTTCAAGATTATTTTTGGATACAGCAGTTTCGACATTTTTGATGACCCCAAAAATAATCCAAAGGATTGAGATCGGGGGATCTTAGTGTCAAACCATCTGTTAGGAAATAATAATAATGGCATTATTGAATTAAATAAACTTAATTACAATGTGTAAATAAAATATGTCAGGCGAGGTCCAGATAGCATATCAAAAAATGTGCCTCTGCTCATACCGAACCCACTAATGAAAATTTTGACATGAAAAAAAACTATTGATCTCTTATTAGCAAGTTAAGAAGGGTAGACTTAAAGGCTCTGAGAGATAACCTTTTTAGGTCATCAGGCAAATCGTTGTAAAGTACATAAATCTGGGACGTGAATGCTCTTCTAAATAGTGACAACTTATACTTAGGAGGAGAAATTCTACCCCTGGACCTCGTATTCCGATTGTGTTAGCAATTTACGTCTATTGAACATATTTAACCAACCAATGTCACGAAGTTTATATACGAAATACGAGCATACTTTCTCAAATACAGTACACAAACCTCAAACAAGCATTCTGCACTTTTTGAATGCGTAGAGTCAACAAACTATCAATTGAGGCATGGTGAAACTACTTCATCGATATATTGCCTAACCCGAACTGCACGATGTGGTGGTGCACCATCTTGTATGAGCCAATAATTTTCGTCATGTAATATCGAGTCTTTACCACTGGGAAATGAATTTCCTAAATTTGGGAATAGACGTTATTGTAAGAAATCGGGGACTGTTCAAAGTCTCTTCAAAAAAGTAAGGCCCAATGATTTGATTGTTGATAATCCTGTGGATTATATACAAAAATAATCTTGAATCGCTTAACGACTTAATAAAGAACCATTATTTATTGTTAGGGTCCAGCAAGCATTTATCAATCGTTTGGGATACTGCTAGACACAAGAAGGGTTTCAGTTTCAGCGTTTAATTCATTAGATAATTATTGTTCCTACACACTACAATGTTAAGATAAAACCATGTTATCTTTTACCTGAAATAACATAGTAACAGTATTTTTTTAACAGCCATTTTTTCGCAGACAACTGAATAGGGTGTATAGGGTGTGCTACATAAAAAATACTCAGAATTTTATGTAGAATTCAGAAATGCAACAAAAAATGGGGCTTCCTATTTAAAAATGCCAAGTTAGGGATCGTATCTCAATTTTGGGACATCATTTCAATTTTATCTCAAACAATGCGTGTTAAAAAACAACATAGATGTTCAAACATTTTTTCTGAAACAATATCTCCCGAATTTTTATTGAATTTATGCCTTACTTTATGTACACAGTGTATAATGAACTTAGTTATACAGGGTGTTTCACGTAACTGGTTCGTTAGAACTTTTTTAGGTTCTACTATTTGCAGAGTTTTGAAATTTTGGTGGTAGGGGTTAATCGTCCGAAACCTTCGATCTATTTATATTAGATACTTTCAAGATGGCCGCCACTTTCGGTCTACCGGAAGTAAATCCACCTTCGTTATTTTAAATGTTATGCAAATTTCACCATGCACTGTAAAACTCCATTTTCAGCTAACGTTCATTCAGAATTTTAAAAAGATACAACAAGAATATCAAGAATTGCTTTATTGGATTAATAAAACGTTTAATAAAACAAGATAATATTCATTGTGTAGAATTTATTGCATATTATTTCAAATTTCTATATGTAACAAGATAACCAAATAAAATAATTGAAGATTTAAAGTTTATCTGTAATTAAAATATCAGCGATTTTAAGGAGAATGGAGCTCTGAAAAGCATTAGTAAGAGGAGCAACGATGATGTTGGATATTTTTGAAGCCTCCGGATGTCGTTGCAAAAGAATCCGGATATAGTGCAGGCGCCGCGCT